TATAAACATTTTCAGTAATCCATCTATGATATTTTCTTCAAAATTATAAAAGAAACAAGTTACATAGCATATAAACATGATACATACACCCAAAGTACAATAAATTTCACAAAGATGAGATGTGGTAGCCAGGCAGAGGGAAAGAATTCAGTTTTCTCTGGTCCAGCACCAGAGAAAATGTGTAGCATGTTTAATGCATTTGGCTTTGTTTACAAATTGTTGGCATGATTTCTCATTACTTCTGTCATTTATGATGCATATAAGGGTAGTTGTTAGAAATGATTAAACTAGTGAACAAGGTATGTCGATGGTAATAAAAATAATGTCGTTGGTAATAAAAATAATGTTCTGGGGCACTTTCAATATTGTATACAGCCTTTCCTCACTTAGTGATGTAGTTATTTATTGATGACTTGGACTTAAAACGGGCTCTCTGACCAGTATGCATACCTAAATAATATACGTATATTAGAGCTGATTTCCTCTACTCTGTTTATTACAATATATAGTACACTACTGTATAAACATTTAAAAATATACAGCCTCTCCTCACTTAATGACTGAGTTCCATTCCTGAGACCATGTCATTAAACGAATTCATCGCCAAGTGAGGAACATACTATAATGGTAGAGTTTGTGTCAACCATCTTTGATATTGTTTTAATGTCACCTTTGCACCATTTATAACATTTCTGGTAAATTTCTAAATGTTTATACAGTACTGTAAAGGAGGCCCTCCACAATCACGAGGGTTAGGGGATCAAGAACCTCACAAATCTTGAAAATTCGCGAATGTTTGGTGTGCAGTTATGATGTAGGGAAATATAATAATACTGTACTGTAGCGTTTGTGAATGTTTTGATGAGCAAATATATTGTAGGGAAATTTATCAAACCATCCTTTACTTGCTAGGAAGTCAGAATAGGTGATAGTAAGATGTCCTGGTGCAGGTTCTGCACTGGTGCTAGCCTCATCACTAGCCAATGTATCATACAAAGTCTTTCCCTTTGCATGAATTGCATTGCTGTCTATGGGATTTCCTTTTCTATTTTGGTCTGAAATCCACACAAATAATGCTGATTCCATCTTAGACACTGCACTGTTTCTTACCTGTGACACTTGCTTGGCCGAGGGAGGAGCAGTAAATGCTAGTGATGCCCTTATCTTCGCCTCATTTTTCTTGATACAGCGCACTGTGCTTTTGTTTACATCAACTAATTTTCCAATGGCAGAATTGCTCAAATAACCTGCCCTACATTTGTCTAGCGATTTCATCTTCTCCTGCAGATTCATGGCTTGCTTTGAGAGCTTAGGGGTTGGCTCATCAACAGCAGTTGCTGCTCACTTGGGGGCCATACTTGCACCACCAACCCCCTCCCCCCCACACACACACACAATTCTAATATCCGGGGGGGGGGGGGGGCAGGAGTTAAGTATCGACCCCTGCAACCACAATTAGGCAAGTACGTAAGCACGCACACGTACGTACACACGTACGCACACGTACGTACGTACGTACACACACGTACGTACGCACGTACGTACACACACGTACGTACGCACGTACGTACACACGTACGTACGCACGTACGTACACACGTACGTACACACGTACGTACACACACGTACGTAACGCACGTACGTACACACGTACGTACACACACGTATGTACACACACGTACGTACACACGTACGTACACACGTACGTACACACACGTACGTACACACACGTACGTACACACACGTACGTACACACGTACGTACACACACACACACGCGTGTATGGTAGGATGCGAACAGTAACCGGACAACGACTGAGTGAGTGGCGGACTGGCAGGCTGCCACTTGAAGGGGTAAGAGGGATAGTAGGGACGCAGCAAGAAGCACTCTCCCGTACTTTTTTCCCGCATTTGTTTGGTATACTGTACATGATTGGGTGGCTGGGCATTTGGGAATGTTCGAAGCTCGTGAAAGTGGAACTCGGAAAGCGGAGGGCTAGCTGTACTGTATATTGAAATAAACAGAATAGAGGAAATCAGCTCTAATATACATTATTTAGGTATGAATACTGGTCAGAGAGCCCATTTTAAGTCTGAGGCGCTGGTAAACGAGTACGTCGCTATGTGAGGAGAGGCGGTACTAGAAATGTCATAAAAGTTGCAAAGGTGACATTAAAACAATATCAAGGATGACTGACATAAACCCACTGCCATTATAATATGCTCCTCCCTTAGTGATGAGTTCGTTTACTGACGTGGTCTTAGGAATGAAACTCTGTCGTTAAGTGAGGAGAGGCCATATTACGTTTAGGTGCAGTAGCTAAATGGCTACACCTACTTACACCCGACTTCCTACAAATAAATACAGTGGACTCTTGACTTTCATGTTTAATCCGTTCCAGAGAGTCTGCCAAAATTCAAAATTCACAATTTTCAAAACCATTTTCCCCATAAGAAATAATGTAAATCAAATTAATCCGTTCCAGACACCCAAAAGTATTAAAAATTTTTTTTACAATAAATGTACATTTATCTATACAGAAAACAATGAGACATGAAGAATAAAACAATAATAACTTTACCAAAGAGTTGTTGATGTGTGGAAGATGGGAGGAGGGGAGAGGATGGAAGAGTTACTATGGGTTGGAAGGGGAATCCCTTTCCATAAAGACTTCAGGTACTAAGTCCTCTTCTGGGGTTACTTCCCTTCTTTGTTTTTTAATGCCACTAGGACCAGCTTGAGAGTCAATGGACCCCAGTCCCTCAAAAAACTGTTCGAGAAAGATCTGTTTCTGGACTTTCTTTAAAATTTGCCTAAAATAAGACAAGACACTGTCATTGAACATGTCGCATACATGGTTCGCAACAGCTTTGTCAGGGTTATGTTCCTCCACAAATCTTTCCATCCTAGTCCACATTGCACACATCTTAATCAATGAAGAAAGCAACTTCTTTCCTTTCTCTTCCTCCTCCTCCTGAAGAAATTTCCTGAGCTGTGGTCTGTTGCTGTTGCAGATTAAGGTCTAGCAGCTCTTCAGTGGTTAGCTCTTCACTGAGGTCCCCCACCAACTCTTCCACATCCTTGCCACTAACCTCCAACCCCAATGACTTCCCCAATGCCACAATGGATTCCACAACTGGCATAGGGTTGTC